CAAAATCCACTCTATTTTGATAATTTGATTTATTCTTATTAATTTGATCATGAATAAAGAAAGTTTGGGCCAGTGTATTTAATGTGGACAATCGATTAATAATCAACTATTGAGCGATTAACCAATGTATGTTAGTGACTAGCGATTGTTTTATCGTTTCTCAAAATAATCGATTATCTACATCACTATAATGTAGTGACCATAGATTTAATGCGGCTACTCACTTGCCTGCAGCAGGGGCAATCTAGGGTATAGGAGTGGGGATGACCCCTAATTGCCTCCTTAAGTGTGATGTGTGTATGCAATCAGGGGCAATTTCCTAAGTCGGCCCTACGGCAGGGCGGCAGGGGCGCAAGATCTTCCTTGCTCCTTAGATCGGAGCTGCAGCTGTCGCGTGTGTATCGCAATTGGGGCAATTTCAATCTTTCGTTGGCGACTTTCGCACGGAGGAGACGTGTGAGTACAAGTCACAATGGATTGATGAATTAAGAGTGTGAAATTTGGACACGGGGACTTTTTTGTGGTAGTACTGTAGAACGAACTTTATTTGAACGTTTCTTAACGTGATAACTTTTTTAAGGTGGCAACGTTTTAGTAACGTACCTTAAAAGTGGTAGAGTCACGCTGCAGCTTATAAGCGCTATATTTTATTAGTAATTATTACTTAATTAGTAGTTTTATAGGTAAATGTAAGTTTCTATGGGCCACAGTAAGACAAGCCGTGTAGTGGCGGTTAAGAATATCCACTACCCCATATCTTCCCGTGGGTGTAGTAAGAGGCGACAGAGGGAGACAGGCAGGAGATGGGCAGCAGCGTCTTCCTGATGACAACTGTGACGTAATAAAAAACTGCGGTTGCCAACCCGCTCGCCAAGCGTGGCAACTATGGCAAATACCCCCCAATGAATAAATACACAAACAGACGGCCCCCAGTCCCCGGCGGCCCCGCTATTCCTGGCTACGGTGGCGACCATGGTAACGGCGGGGCAGGGGGTGCTAAGAATCTCCGGTGGAGGTTCGGTTGCCACCTACGACGACTCGACCTGGCAACATATAACGCACGCACCCTGAGGACTGACGAGAAGATACTGGAGCTGGAAGAAGAGGTAGACAAGTTGCGCTGGCATATTATTGGATTATCCGAGGTCCGAAGAGAGGGGGAGGACACGGCAATCCTCGAGTCCGGCAACTTGTTCTATCACCGGGAGGGCGACCATCTGTCCCAAGGAGGTGTCGGATTTATCGTCCACAAATCTCTCGTCAACAACGTTGTAAAGATTGGGAGTGTGTCGACGAGGGTCGCGTACCTGATACTCAGAATCACCAAACGGTATTCGCTGAAGGTCATTCAGGTTTACGCACCAACCTCGGCACATCCCGATGAGGAGGTGGAGGAAATGTATGAGGATATTTCCAGAGCCATACATCACACGGTGTTGATGGGAGACTTCAACGCAAAACTGGGCACAAGAGAAAGCGGTGAGCTGAAGGTAGGGAAATTTGGAGTAGGGCAACGGAACCGAAGGGGCCAGCAGCTGGCCGACTTTATGGAGAAAGAGGAACTCTTTATGATGAACTCTTTCTTCCAGAAGCGGCCCCACAGGAAGTGGACCTGGTCGAGCCCCGACGGTTCGACAAAAAATGAGATTGACTTCATTATGACGACCAGACGCCAACTGTTCAGTGATGTCTCAGTGATCGCAAGGGTGAAAACTGGCAGCGATCACCGAATGGTTAGAGGCACACTGAACCTAAACGTTAAGTTGGAGAGGTCTCGTCTAATGAAGTCAACGCTCCGTCCCCCTCGTGCTCTAATCCAGAATCCCGAAACCTTTCAGCTCGAGTTACGTAATCGCTTCCAGTGCCTAGAAGATTGCAATGCAGTGGACGATATGAACGACAAGCTCGTGGAAACTGTCCATGCGGTCGGAGCTAAGTTCTGCAAGACCCGCCGCAGAAGAACACAAAAACTCTCCGATCACACTCTTAATCTCATGGCTGTTAGACGGGAGATGAGGCTGCAATCGTCAACAGATTTGACAGCATACAGGCAACTGAACAGACAGATCTCCAAATGCATACGGCGAGACTTACGCAACTTTAATACTTTTCGTATTAAAGAAGCGATCGAGCGGAACCAGGGCTCCAAAGTCTTTGCCAGAGATCTGTCTGCCAGAAAGAGCCAACTGTCAAGGCTGAAGACTGAGTGTGGCAACATCGTTTCCGGGACACCTGAGAGTTTGAGTGAGATTGAGAGGTTCTATGGGCAGCTGTACACATCATCGTTGGAGCCACACGCAAGTGTGAGTAACGATCCAAGAGCAAGTCTTATCCGACACTATTCCGATGATATCCCGGACGTCAGTCTAAGCGAGATTAGAATGGCTCTCCAGCACCTTAAAAACGGCAGGGCCCCAGGCGAGGATGGAATTACATCGGAGCTTCTGAAAGCGGGTGGAACACCGGTACTTGAAGTCCTTCAGAAGCTCTTCAATTCCGTCCTCCATGGTGGCACTACTCCAGAGGCGTGGAGCAGAAGTGCGGTGGTCTTGTTCTTTAAGAAAGGCGACAACGCTCTCTTAAAGAACTACAGACCGATTTCCCTTCTGAGCCGCGTCTACTTGCTGTTTTCGAGAGTCATTACGAATCGTCTCGCACGCAGACTTGACGACTTCCAGCCTCCCGAACAAGCCGGTTTCCGAAAAGGCTTCAGTACCATAGACCACATACATACCCTGCGGCAGATTGTACAGAAGACTGAAGAGTACAATCTGCCACTTTGCCTGGCGTATGTGGACTATGAGAAAGCCTTTGATTCCGTCGAAATTTGGGCGGTGCTACAGTCCCTTCAGCGGTGCCAAGTTGACTGTCGGTATATCGAAGTGCTGAAGTGTTTGTACAGTAGGGCTACGATGGCTATCCGAGTACAGAACCAGAGCTCGAAACCTATCCAACTGCAGAGAGGTGTAAGACAGTGTGACGTTATATCCCCGAAACTCTTCACCGCTGCATTGGAAGACGTTTTCAAGCTACTGGACTGGAAAGGATACGGTATTGACATCAATGGCGAGTACATCACTCACCTTCGATTTGCCGACGATATAGTCCTTATGGCAGAATCGCTGGAGGACTTAAGCACTATGCTCAATGACCTCAATAGTGCCTCCCAACGGATAGGTCTTAAGATGAACATGGACAAAACAAAGATCATGTTCAATGTCCATGTCACACCTATGCCGGTAGTTGTTGGGAGCACTATGCTCGAAGTTGTTGACGAATACGTTTACCTGGGACAAATAGTCCGACTAGGTAAGTCCAACTTCGACCGAGAGGTCAATCGACGGATTCAACTCGGCTGGGCAGCGTTCGGGAAATTACGGCATATCTTTTCGTCAGGTATACCTCAATCTCTAAAAACTAGATTGTACAACCAGTGCGTGTTGCCAGTGATGACTTACGGATCTGAGACGTGGTCCTTCACTGCTGGCCGTATGAGGACGCTTAAGGTCGCTCAGCGAGCTATGGAGAGGGCTATGCTCGGAGTTTCTCTGCGTGATAGACTCAGAAATGAGGATATCCGCAGTAAAACCAGAGTGACCGACATAGCCCAACGGATTAGTAAGCTGAAGTGGCAATGGGCCGGCCATATAGCTCGAAGAACCGATAACCGATGGGGAAGAAAGGTTCTCGAGTGGCAGCCTCGTACCGGTAGGCGTAGTGTAGGGCGACCCCCCACTAGATGGAGTGACGACCTGGTAAGACATGCAGGAAGTCGATGGATGCAGGTGGCTCAGGACCGTGCTTTGTGGCATTACTTGGGGGAGGCCTATGTTCAGCAGTGGACTTGTGAAGGGCTGTAATGATGATGATGATGATGATGGGCCACAGTATGCAGTTACCATAAGGAGGACTGAGTGTTCGTTTGTCGTCCTTATTCTATACTAATGGATAACCGGCATGTACTACTATGCTAAAAAAAGAAATACATTTTGTTTATTAATTGAAACAAAAGGATTTTTTTTATTTATAAAGTTTTTTTATATAGTCCCTAATGCATTGTTTTAGTAGTCTAAAACCATCTTCGCATTATTACCTTTCTAATGAAACCAGTTTGGGGCATATCGGTTGGATGATTTCAAAGTCTATATTATGTAGAAACATTTTTGTGTTTTATATAGATATATGAAAAAGCGCCAAGGCTATATACATTTAAATTTTAATAAAACTGGAGCCATTCTCAACGCGTGTGTCACTCATACCGAACGGCAGGCATGTGAGTAGAAACAGTTCTGATATCGCCCCGATCGCTGTACACCCTAGGTTGCCCCTGTGGCAGGCAAGTGAGTAGCCGCCTTTAGTACTAGATCTCTGGTAGTGACAGATGTAAAACGCTTTTTTTCTTAAGGACTCGTACGGTTAGTATTTTCGTCAGTGCAACTGAAAATTTTCTTCACTTAATGCGTCCCCAATTGAATGGCCCAGTTAAAAGGCAGTGTAACTAGGTCATTCAATAAATACTATTCGGCCCTAATTCAAGAAATCAATCCATTGGGAAATTTTTGAAATACATTAGTGGGGAAGAACTTACTATTTCCCTTGATGTCTCGAAGGCCTTTAACAGAGTTTGGGACGATAGCCTTTTGTATAAGCTTCCAGCTTACAGCCAATCCCCTGATCTGATCGATGGGAAAAGGACTTTCTGAGTGAATGGTCTTTCCGCATCGTCATCGATCGCTGCGGCGACTAACGCCGGTGTGCCTCAGGGATCCGTTCTCTCCGCAACTCTCTTCCTGCTGCATATTAATGATTTGCTTATATCCGGTATCTATGGGTACGTAGACGACAGCACAGTTGTGGACAGACAAGAGGAGCTATGGTAGAGCGTTTGAATCTAACACTACGGGCAGTCTCCGAATGGGACGATGCCAATCTTCTGAAATTCAACGCCTCCAAAACACAAGCGCGTCTCTTCAGCACCGTTTCCTTCCGAAATACACAGGATGTCCAGTTGGAAAGCTCTATTTTCAAATTTGAATTACGCAGCAACGGTTGGCGCGGTGAAGTGGGGAGGCGTGTCAATTAAAGCATCAGGTCAGGTGTGCGAGTTTAACAGTCGCAATGGAGCGTTGCAGAGCAGAGCGCAACGTGCTTTTGTTGTCGAATATTTCTTTAAGAGTGGTGACTCGTGCGCTGGAGCGCTTTGGAAATTTTGTTCTGAGTACAATATTCACCGATCAAGAGATGCCTTAAGTGTAAACCTTTTGAAAAATGCATTAAGAAGTTACGTGAAACGGGTTCGTGAAAAGGCCGCACACCTACTGTATCAACCTAGGAAAATGTGCGCCTTGTAGTGATTCGGTCCTTGCAAATCCGCGGTGTTCTTTGCGGAAGCATTCGGCAGTTTTGCGAATACCTAAATTAACAGTTCACGTCATAGTTAGGAAAAAATGCGCTTTTCATCCCTATAAAATATAGTTAGCGCAAGCTTTAAAAGAAAATAATTACTAAATTACGTAAATCTATTGCTGAAAAGATGTTGGAAGTTTTCCTACACAGCTTAGACTCGAAGTAGTCTATTAAATAAGTTTAAAAAAAATAAAAAGTAGTAATTGTAAAGTATCGAATCCGTTTGTGTTCAGCGCGTCCTTAAGGTTGAACAAAAAATGCGTGGCATGGATCATAGAATTGACCAAACTGCAGATCGCTTTATAATTAATGTTACAGACAGTTCATCTGAATACACATCAAGTGAAGATACGAGTGATGCTTGCACCGAATAAAAATAAAGTTCTTATATAATATTGAAAATAAAGTTTTATCCTTTGAATAAGTACTTACTTATTCAGTGTCGTTATCACTCGAATCTTTATATGTGTTATAAATTAATGCTTTTTGTTGTTAAATGAATAAAGTACTTTATAACAATAGATGATTTTTCTTCTACAGTGATCTTTTACATAACTTTTTGATAATAGTTAATAAATATATATTATACCAATTGGTGGAGCGACGAGCCTAAGGTTACCGAAGTCTAATTCCCCGGTCGAACCTTAAACCTATTACGCGAGATATTAACCAAAGTGGACTGTATATGCGAAATGCTTCTTCGTTTACCCAAAATGGCGACTATAGCACGCGGTTTCCCATATAATGCACTCGCTCTTCCCTAAAACGAACTATTATTTGCCAAATCTATGAAAGGTATCCTGCTTGATTAGGAGAAAATAAATTGGATCGGACACAATTATATCAAGCAGTAACTAGTAAGGAATATTCACTCACCGGGGTGTTGCTTCTATGCGGCTTGGGCACTAAGTTGCTGCAACTTCTGGAAGACACTCTGGGTAGACTCTCTGGGGCCCCAGCCTTTCTTGTCCGGTGATACGTCGGGAGAGAGGCGGTGCGCGACTATTTCTCACACGAGGTGAGGCGGGTTTCCTGGAGCTCGACTGCTTCAGGCTAAGTGGTTATACTAGCGGTGCGCGTGGGCAATAGCCCTTCTATTACACTATTGTCTTAAGCGGTGTGGTTCCAACAACGAGCGCGGCGGGAAGAGACTGCGCGTCGGCAGCGCGTGCCTTTTATTCCTTCGGTTGCGATGATCGCGTAATATTCTAGAATCACCTTCTTTCCCCTCCCACCCCACCACCCCGATGTGTCGATAGGAGGGTATGAACGATATCGTTTGGAAAGGGATAAACGATTTAGCAAGCCTACCGTCAAATATAAATAAATACGAATGGTTTCCGCGCATCCACCAATAATTATAAAAAATAAATAAAAAAATCATTATAAATAAATAAAGTACTACATATAAAATGTGCCTATATATTGAAAGTTTGTAACCGCTGGTTAAGCGGCCGAAAGGTCATTGTCCGTTTTTCTCAATCGATTTGGCACATACTATAAGAGAATTGCTTGTTTTGAATGCCATATTAACGCAGTTTTGTCTAAGAGTATTAGCTATTTTTCTGATATGGAGCCTAAGTAGATCAAACTGTTCACATATCGCCAGACACTTTGAGGTTGAACCACGTACAGAGAATTGCGAACGGCAAGCTTTTGTTTCAGATTTTTTGAAAATACGTTAGAGTCTGCAATTTGATAAGTTATATTAAGCTCTTTTAAATAATTTTCTTTACTTAATGGAACATTGAACAGACGTTTAATGTAACAATAAAAAGCGGCTAATTTATGTTGCCATGGATGACACGATGACGCGGGGTAAACGAGTCGGTATGAGTCGGCTTTACATTAATTTATAAAACATGCAACGACTATTTTCTTGTTATTGTTAAGTGAAGGAAATTAAGGGATTTAAAAAATAATAATAATGATAACATTGCACTGCTGAATGAACAAACAAGTGGTTCTAATTCACCTTTGTTAAACATCTTTAAGCCCAATCTCTGATAATAATTAAAAAAAATAAATATCATAATAATAATAATAACCCCACAGTTGTGTATCTACGTTTACGACGTGGTGGGGCTTGTGTGCTTCAATGAACTCTAGGTTTATGCCGGTAGAGTTTATCATGCCGACATAGATCTAGGACGAGGAGCCAGACTAAAAGAGATACAATCTAAGCCAAGGTCGCATATGCCGAGGGCTGCATGGCTACGAGAGAGTGTAGTCAATAGTATACCAACTCTGGAAAGCAGGGGATCTCCAGTTTTATTTACCCTTGCCGCAGTGAACGCAGGGCTCTGCTGTGGTCGACTCTGTAAGATACAGATGATCAACATTTCTTAAGCAAAATAACTTTGAAATAGAAGAAATGTTTTTTCAAGCTCCACGATATGTTACAGATATACCACCCTACTAACAGGCCATACATTCCATAGCAGAAGTCATCTAGAAGGTTCACTGCTATAGCTACATACATAAACAATGTCATTCTCCCTAATAACGTAAATCTAGATCTCGATTTCATCACATTGCAGACAATAATTTATTTTGCAGCATGGACTGCAGTTAATATATATAATAAAATAAAATAATATTTTGGCCCCATTACACAATGGGGCCAAAATATCACACTTAACAAAAATTGAAACAAGAACATATATACAGAAAAAACCAAAATGGCAAGTCAGATTAGAAAATAAAATCGAAAATTTAAGAGCACACATAGGCAAAATGACACAGTTCATTAATGGTAGCAGAAGTAAAAAAGTAATAGAATGTAATTGCAGTACAAGAAATAACGAAAAAATACCAAATTCATGCGCAACATGAAAACTCGAATACAGAACTAGAACACTTTTTAGATACTTTAAAACAAAAATTAAACGCAGCATTCAGTAGACTTAAAAGATATATAACATGCACCAACTGCAACGTACAAACACAAAATTTACTAACAATGAAAAATTATTTTATAGAAACCTTACATCTATTAACCGAGACACCAGAAGCCAAAACCTAGAGACACCCTGGTCCGAAACACTGCAGGAATTTTGGACCAACATTTGGGAAAATCCAGTACTTATCTCATAATAAGCACGCGGACCGGATCAACGAGGCAACACCAGAAATAACAGAAATGGAATTCGAATGTATACCAATAGATACATTTAAAGATGTCATCAATCGTACACATAACTGGAAATCGCCAGGCACAGATAATATTCACAACTACTGGTATAAGAAATAACATTCATCCAATCACCACATTTAATCCATACTAATATTATAAATGCGAAAGTGTGTTTGCTTGTTTGTTTGTTTGTCCTTCTTTCACGTTGCAACAGAGCGTCGGCATGGCATGATTTTTTGATAGTTCGGTGGCTGTAGAGTGACATAAGTTACTTTTTTCCGCGGAAAAACATCTCATTCCCGTGGGAAAATAGAATATGTTGCAAAAATTTTGTCCTTCTTTCACGTCTCTCATATCATATTGCGGACTATCTAATACACATGATTTGTGGGACAAATATAAAGAGTACATGGCTGAAGATATTTTGCGAAGGTTACAGCTGACACACGCGAACATGACATACAATGAACACATTTATAATGAAGCACTTGGAAAAATTGAAGATAAAGTAATGGCAATGGTAGGCAAAAAATTAAGCGACTTTGGAATGATAAGCTCTCAGCGAAGAACCGAAAATGAACTAAGTGATGAAATTATACGTGAAACCAACTACGATATACTAGCTTTACAGCAGCAAGTAGCCGAATTTGTACCCCACTTGCTTTCCGAAAAAAAACGAGTTTTTGACAAAGTATTAAGACAAATTGAATCCGAAAATGGTGCACTTTTCTTTTTAGATGCCTCTGGAGGAACTGGGAAGTAATTTTTGTTAAATTTATTATTAGCGCAAGTACGGAAAGATAAAAACATTGCTGTGGCCGTAGCTTCCTCCGGTATAGCTACCACGCTGCTAAGCGGGGGCCGCACTGCACATTCTGTTTTAAAACTCCCTCTAAATCTAGCCCAGGATGCATCGCCGATCTGCAACTTTAGCAAAAATAGTGCACGAGGTATAATGCTACGACAATGCAAACTTTTAGTGTGGGACGAAAGTACAATGTCGCATAAAAAAGCTGTAGAAGCACAGCAATACCGATATAATGGGAGGAATGGTGGTTTTACTGGCTGGTGACTTTCGCCAAACTTTACCTGTCATTCAAAAGGGCACACCTGCAGATGAAATTAAAGCATGCCTCAAGTCGTCTATTTTATGGAACAAGGTGACAAAATTCAGTATAATTACGAATATGAGAGTGCGTTTGTATAATGATATCAATGCTGGAAACTATGCTGATACACTATTAAAAATTGGCGATGGGCGGTTGGAAACGGATGCTGAGGGCTGCGTAAAATTGATGAGAGATGTTTGTAATTTAGTACAGCGTCATTCCGAATTAATTGCGAGCGTTTATTCAGATTTAACGAACAACATGCATGAAGACAAATGGTAATGTGAAACGGCGATTCTTGCACTAAAAAATGAGAGCGTTAACAAATTAAATTTAGATATATTAAGCGAAGTAGCAGGAGAAATAACAGAGTATTTATCAGTAGATTATGGACACAGTTATGGACACAGAACATCCCACTTCATATCCCGTTAGTGTTTCTAAATTCTCTAGAGTTGTCAGGTGTGCCCTCACATAAGCTTCAATTAAAATTAGGCGTCCCAGTCATGCTAATGCGAAATTTAGATGCTCCTCGGTTATGTAACGGGACAAGGTTGCGTGTGACACATCTTGGACGGAACATAATCGGTGCTACAATTTTGACAGGCGTAGGAAAAGGTGAAAATATTATTATACCACGGATCTTTCCTATAATTCCCACAGATCTTCCTTTTCAATTCAAAAAGTTGCAGTTCCCAAT